GCCCTCTGCTGTTTAATATCCCCTCAGGAAATGAATGAGTGGTACAAAACCAGATTTACTGACTTTAATCAAGCTTCCACAAAACATGCTGAGAATGTGAGACATTTCAGAGAAGGAACAGGGAAAAGAAGTGTAAGTGGAATTGAAAACCCCTTCCAGCTTATATTATGTCACTTCTAATGGAAGCCTTTGTTATGATTTCACTAAGTTAGGTAATGTGACAGTTGTCCGATATTTTTCCCAATAGTAGTGGTCTTTTAGGCTGTATTTTGCAACAAGCGAGGTGGATTGGAGGAGTGGTGACCCTGGATGTGACCTCATGTGTCAAACCAGCAGCAAGTAGCCACAAATAATATTTTTACATATGAAATAAAAATTCAGCTGCTCAGTAATGCATGCATCTAAACATAAGGATCCTGTTGTTTTGAATGACAATGTCAGGGGCAAAGGATTTATATTAGAGAATTTTTTATTTGAAGCACCGTCAAACACACTTCTCCTTCCACATAAAAAGCAGACTCCTGCAGAAGCAACCATTTAATATTTTATGTGAAAGACATTCAGGATACTTTCATTAGATGAGGGAAAGACCTTAGAATAATGAGGGCTTGGTTTGCAACATGAAGATAAATAGCAAGGGACAGAGGTGTTATTAAAACCATCAGCTCTGTTGTGAGAACCTCTTGATAAGAATAGATGGTTCAGCCACCTCCTACTGACATTTGCTTAAAATAATTTTAAAAAATCAGCATTCCCACAGAGTAGCCAATAATAATAATAGTAATAGTAATAGTAATAGTAATAGTAATAGTAATAGTAATAGTAATAGTAATACTAATAGTAATAGTAATAGTTATAATTTTTTTTAAAGGGTTTTCCTTTCTGGGTCACAGACACTGGCATTTAACCCCACCTCCTCTCAGTAAAACATGCAGCAGGAGCATATGCAGGATGGAGTATCAGATCAATGTTAGCTTGATTTTTTTCCTCCTTTGGTCAGCTTGAAATGCATCCTTCATTCTGATTGCTGAGGCTTTCCATGCAGGGAGTAGCCTGTGGGTCTGGATCCCGAGAAACCCACCCTGCCCAGGCTGAGATGATTATTCAGGCTGTCCTTCAAACCCTGGGAGCCACACAGATCAACCTGCAGGCCAGACACCCATTCACAATGGGGCATGTGTCCCATCAAGGAGGGCTTTGCCCCCAGGAAAGACCAAATTGCCAGGGTCACTCCACTGGAGTCCTCTGCAGGCACATGAATAGTGGACTGAGGGTCTCTCAGGTAGCTTGCACCTCACAGGGAGAGTTTGCCTCTCTCACACCTTTTCCCAAACATTCAGTTAAACAAGCATTAAGCAGTTATAGACAATTAAAGGCTTCTTGAGAAGTCAGGAGGCTGACCACAGCTGCTGCCCAGCCAAGACAAAAGACCTCTCTATCCTACCTGCATCCCTGGATGCCTCTCTGCACCCTGAACAACTTTTCATAGAATCATAGAATCATTAAGATTGGAAAAGACCTCCAAGGTCATTGAGTCCAACCTTTGACCAAACACCACATCAACAAAACTGTAGCACAAACTGCCACATCCAGTTGTTATTTGAACAGTTCCAGAGATGATGACTCCACCACTTCCCTGGGCCATCTGTTCCAATGCTTAACCACCCTTTCAATGAAGAAATTCCTTTTGATGTCCAACCTCAACCTCTCCTAGAGCAGCTTGAGGCCATTTCCCTTTATTGTGTCATTAGTTGTTTGGGAGAAGAGATCAACCCCCACCTTGCTTCTACCACCTTTCAGGCAGTTGTAGAGATAAGGTCTCTACTGAGCCTCCTTTTTTTCCAGGCTGAACATCAAGCTCCCCCCATGACTTACTCTCTAGACCCTTCACCAACTCTGTTGCCCTTCTGTGGACACCCCTACATGTCAATGTCCTTCTTGTAATGAGAGGCCTTGTTCAGAACTGAACAAGGACTTGAGGTGTAGCCACACCAGTGCCAAGTACAGGGGAAAAATTGCTTCCCAAGGTATGCTGGCCACACTATTTGTGGTGCATGCCAGGGTGCCACTGACCTTCTTGGCCACCTAGGCACATGCTGGCTCATGTTCAGCCAGCTATTGACTGGCACCCCCATTTCCTTTTCCACTGGGCAGCTTTCCAGTCACTCTGCCCTCAGGCTTGGGGTTTTTGTGACCCACGTACAGGGCCCAGCACTTTACCTTATTGCACTCCAAAGAGCTAGCCTTGACCCATCAATCCAGCCTATACAGATCTTTCTTCAGAGTCAGCAGATGAACACTTTTCACCCAACTTAGTGTCATCCACAAGCTTACTGAAAGTATACCCGATCTCCTTGTACAAATCATTGATAAAAATATTAGACAGGACTGACCCCAAAACTGAAACCCCACTACTAACTGGCCAGCAACTGGATGCAACACCATTCACCACCACTCTCTGTGCCCAGCCAACCAGCCAGTTCTTAACCCATCAAAGAGTGCACCTATCTAAGCTGTCGGCTGCCAGCTCCTCCAAGAGAATGCTGTGGGAGACTATATTGAAATCTTTACTGCTGTGGGAGACAGTACTGAAATCTTTACTGAAGTCCAGGTAGACAACATCCACAGCCTTTCCCTCATCCAGTAGGTGGGTCACCAGGTCATAGAAGGAGATCAGGTTGGTCAAGCAGGGACTGCCTTTCCTAAACCTGTGCTGACTGGGCCTGATGTCCTGGTTGTCCTGTACATGCCAAGTGATTGCACTCAAGATAATCTGTTTTATAACCTTCCCTGGGACTGAGGCCAGGCTGGGCTAGTTCTCCAGATCCTCTTTTTCACCCTTGTTGTAGATGGACATCACACTGGCCAACCTTCAGTTGTCTGGGACCTCTCCAGTTAGCCAGGGTTGATAATAAGTGGTAGAGAATGGCTGGTTGAGAAGAGAAAGAGAAAGCAAGTCTGCCTCGAGGGTGTAGATTTTTGCACTGAGCTCTTGGCCCTTCCAGAGGAAATGATACTGCTGTGAAATGGAAGTTGCAGCCCACTCCCCTACAAAACAGCAGGGATGCTCCTTTGCTACTCCAGGCTTGCACAGGGGCTTTGCCTACTTCCGCAGGACCTCTCCTTCCTTTCTCACTATTCCTCCAGGTTTTCACTCAAAAACCTGCATTTCCCCCTGGAGAGCAGCTCCTCCACCTTCAACCCGAGCCTCCTGCCATTGGAGCAGTTGTGTCGCTTTTATTAACTCAAATAAAATGAGAAACGCTTATTTTCTTGCTTGACTCGATCCTGTGGGACCTCAGGAGTCGGATTTTCTGCACGACTTCGTGAAGGTATTGGGTAACCTTGAAGCAACCTGGCAGGCGGGAGGGAGTTGTGGCTCCCGGTGAGCGCAGCAGAGCCTGGCCCGAGGAGAAACCCACCCCCTTCCTCAACAAGCCTCTGACATTACAGGAGAGAAATGAGCGGAAAACAGAGAAGCGAGTTAATTAGTTGCATCTTCGCCTGATCACGCTTGAGAGATGCTTTTGCAAGAGCAGGCTTCACTGCCTTGCTCTATCTGGTAACAAACAGTTTATCTGCAAGCCAGAAATTCAGAGAGAGTTTCTGGATCTATATAAGTAAAGAAAAACTATACAACCGAAGAGAGAAAATCTATCCCTGCCCCGTTATATAATTCCGTGTCTCTATTCCCCCGGACAGATTTCATATATGAGAAACACGCAGATATGTATCTTATGCACGTATTTTCCACCCAGTTTTGCGGGCTTCCAAAGGGAGTTTGAGAAACTGCTGTCTTCTCGCCCCAGGTTGAAATGGCCTCCAACACAAGGTGCCTCTGTGCCGGCCCGGCGGGGCCGCAGGACAGGGATACCGCAGCCTGCCTCCTGACAGTATCCCGCAGTCTCTCCGCACAATATGCGCGGCTCCGGGCCGGCTTCCCCTCCCACGGACAGACTGTGGGGGGAGCGCCAATAAGGTTGATATTTATAGGAGTTGAGAGAGACACGAAGAGTGGGGCTCGCTTTGACCACTGGCACAACGGGCGCGGAGTAACAGCTTCAGGTGGGCTGTGATGAAAATCCAGATATTTCCTCTCCTGGGAGCTCATCCCAGGTGACAAGCGTGTTTTTGATTTCCCCAAATTCGAAAAAAATACTTTTGTCTTTGCAAGGTTAAGTACTGGAAAATCTCAGCACACCGGCCACGGAGTACCCAGACTGTAGAAGGGGCTGTCCTTTCTCAAATAAAAGCTGTTCGGAGTTGCAGGGTTTTCCACAGATCGGGCAGGGCAAGGACTTAGCCCGCAAGCCGCAGTGCCAGCGGGTGAGACAGCTTGGTGTGGCGTTGGCAGCTCGGTACCCGGGGGTGCGGCCACCTCGGGGGCTGTCTGGAAGACTCAGATGGGATGAAGTCAAGTCTTCCTTCTATGAGGGCTTGCGTTTGCAGAAGGTTCAATCCCACACTCATCCGAAAGCATTTTCTGTACCTGGGGGTGAGTCCTAAAGCCCGGGGGACAGCTCTGGCTGACACGGACTGTTGAAAACCTTTTCTCAGCGGTAACTCAATGCGTGCAGTCGATTTTACCACCCCCCCCCCCCAACTATCTCGGGACACGGGTTTAGAAACAGTAGTGACAAGTCATTTCTCAGGCAGTATACCTGTACGGTGGGCATCCTAATTCAGCTTTAGAAACAATGACATAAAAGAAAAGATTAGTTCGACTCTGATATTTTGAGCTGAGCAAAGCTTGATTCAAATTCGGTTTTAAGTGTTAATTCCACAAATAATTTAAGGAGGTCAGCTTATTAAAAAGACCCTCACGCCAAACACCAAACTGTGATAGAAATATTCGAAGATAAATAAGATTTTTCCCTCCTAGCTGTGGAAGAGCTAACCCTTCTGTATGTGTGTGCCCGAAGTATGCCCTTGTTTGTCCGTGTGAGAGACGCAGAGTAAGACAGAAACTTTGAGGTTAATCTGTCTTCTTCTTCTAAATGCATATTTGAATATTTAGACTGAAAGATGGTGACACTGGGGAAGCTGAGGGCAGCGGTCCACAGGCGATTGGGCAAAAAATACTGAATAATTTTATTTTGATTTTAATAGCGCAAACAATGACTAGAAAGAACAACACTACATCTGCAGGCTGTAATGAAAAATTGTTTTTGACAGATGACACCTACAAGTTTCTTTGGTCTCATAACTCCAAATCTGTCAAAAATAATGCATATTTCAGCGTCAGAATATAAAATGGCAAAATAAACAGAAGAAAAAGAGCTGTTCTTCGTGATGTACTTGATAAGCCCTAGATGATGTGGGTTTAACCTGCGGTATTCAGCCTATGTAAATCAAATTCTTCCTAGTATTGCATATATTTATTGGGTTAAATAAAAATAAAAAGAAAAAAGAAAAAAAAGAAAAAAGAAATAAAAAATCAAGTCACAGGGACCAGAGGAAGACCTTTCAGTTTGTCAAATTCATTAATTAGAGAGCTGCACATATACTAGAAGATGCGTTTTCTTGCTCTGCTTCCCGCCCCCACCAACAATTTTACCATGAGGGAATGTTTACCAGAGTGTAACGAACAGTTTCCGATGGCTGCATTTTTGCTAAAGTTCTATTTTTTTTTCTTGCTGATAGTCGTATCTTGAAAAGTCATATCTTCAGCATAAAACGCTGAAACCCTTAACAACATTATATGCGCTCATTAGGAAGTCAGCTCTCTTATAGCCCTTTCTCCTACTGGCTGGCAAAACCGATCTCTTTCTCCATTTACACGGTTACCAGCCAGCCAGCAAGCTCTGCCCTGCTCCCTGGTGCCACTGCACTGAGAGATCTTCCTTCCAGCAGCTACCATTTTTTCATCCCTTTCTTTCTTCCGTGCCAGTGATTTATTTCCCCTGCCTCTCCTCAGATAAAGCACTGGATTCGGCGGGAGCCCAAGAGGCGAAGCCACCACCGTTTGCACCTCCCGCCTCCCGAACCGAGGGCATCCGCCGCGGGAGCGGGCATGGCGCCTTTTCCCCGCCGCGCCTGGCTCTCCGCTCCTGTCCCGCCACTGATGGCACTTGCTTCTCCCGAGGTCTTTGGCATCCACCTACGAAACAAGCTCCAGCTATGTCTTTGCTGTTGCCCTACTATAACTGTGCCCTTCGAGGAGAATATTTACAGAAATTGAAAGTCTTGTTTTACAGCTGCAATTCTTCTGTAAACACAGAGCTGATCTTAAAAGAGAAGCCCCTTCCCCCCCTCCCCGCCCCCCCATAAGATCTTCAGAAAAATGCAACAAATTCACAGAATTCTTTTTTCGCCTTGAGCCGAGCTGAGCACGGCAGAGAAGTCCTCTGAGGATGAGGAGGGGAGCTCTGCGGGATGGGCTCTCTGCCTGCGTGCTTTGGCTTCTCCTGTCACTGCACAATTTCATCCCTGGAAGAGGTTCAGGGTCTGTCTGGAATCTATCAAGCTGTCAGAACTGATAGAGACAGTCTATGGAAATGCTCAGAGAAGGGTACTCCCACTGTATATTTAAAAACCCCAAACAATTAAAGCCTAGGCTGAAATAAAAAGTCAATGCTAGGTTGCCTGCCTAGAGGTGGAGAGAAACTGATTTAAGTGTTACAACCGCTGTCTTTACAAAGCCTGACTCAGAGAGAGCTCAGATCAGAATATAGCTCCATGAATTTTATTCCGAGGGATAGTTGATGCTGGAGGATGGGGAAGGAGAAAAGCATCCCCTGTTTCCTCACCCTGCTGCTCCCCGGAACACAGGAACAACTGGGAGCCACGCAGACTTTTGAAGATGTTTCCTAAGGCATCGGTCCTGTATACGTTCGGTAACCTTTGGCTTTTCCACATGCTTTTCAATAAATAGCAGCCCTGTCTCTCAGGGACGCTCAGGAAGGAGAGGAAGGGCCTTCATCCCTTTTCCCAAAAAACATGGGAAAAAAGGTTCACAGTGACTCCAGCATATCAATTCACAAATAAATCCCTGTGTATGCTTACACATAAATATACTCGGGTGCGTGAGTATTGACTCGCAGGCAAACCCGCATCCTTGCTGTCTCTGAGGTGCCGGCTGCGTGCAACTCAGTTTATAACTGGAGGAGCAGCCTCCAGGCAGTGGGATCTCCTGGACATCCCTTCCACAGGCACCTCGGGGGGATGAAGAAGCCGAAGGCAGAGCTCCCGTTCCCCGCCCTGGCCCTGGGCCGCCTTTTTCTCCTCAGGGAGGGGCCAAGGTTTGGCTCGACAGGGGCAAATACGGGTTGCCCCGGCAGGACTAAGGCTGTGCTGGCAAACTCACCCGGTCTCCCGCTCCGAAATCTGGGGCAGCGCTGCTGGTTGGAGCGGGGATGCCCTTTCCTTTTTTATTTAAATATCATAGCCGTCTCGGTGCGGGGGCACGTCAGAGCTGAGCTTTTCCCTTTTCCTCCGGCCCTTAGCCAACTGTAGTTGCTGCGAAATTATGTCAGGGGCTTCTCCCGGCCTTAGCGGGAGCTACTCGGCAGGGCCGCCGTGCCCCGTCCCCCGCACAGCTCCACGCACCACCGTGCCCGCCGCTCTTTGTCTTGCAAGAATACGAACGTCGGGCACCCGGCTGTGCGGGAGGACACTGGGAGCAGAGGGCTCTGCCAATGTCCTCTTAAACCAGATCTTCCACTTTCCGAGAGTAGTATTCAGGGGCAAACCCACCCTAGAGAACCGACTTCAGTCCTTGATCTGAGACTTCAACAATATCTGCTGTTAAAGAGTCATTGCACTGCTTTCCAGGCCAGTCGACTCTCGCATGTCGCATAGCAAGCCCTGTTCGACGCTGGAAATGGGGCACCATGCCCAGGAGACTCACGGGACACTCCCCATTTCATCTCCTCACCCGGCCAGAGCCACGGGATGTGGGAAGGTGCCCGCATAAGTGACCAGTGTGATTAGGTGGCGGGGGCAGGACCTTTCCCACCGCCACGACCAAGCCTACAGGTAGCTCCAGGGCATTTCGCTCACGGAGAAGGCACCCAGCTCAGCATCACCAAAGAAAGTCATGTCTATATCGCCCTGGGGTTGCCGAGCTCTGCTGGGCGCTGCAGGGACACGGGCTGTGCCTCCGGCCGGGTACTTTGGTTCAAAACCGCCCCGTCGGGACGATGGCTGCTTTCCAGAGGAGAGTGGAGAGGATGAGAGCATCAGGCTGGTCACCAGCTCTCCGTTATCACATTGTCACAGAGTAGCCTCTGCAAAACAAAGACCGGTAGCGGTCTTTTCTATCTGACTGTGATGGGATGAAACATCGTCTTTCTGACAACTGACAGCAGAATTTAGAAATCATTCACCTAATTATTAATTATTGTCTCACCACGTTTTGGGCTACCGCACCCCGACGACCTCACACACAAGTTAGCCACAATGTGGAGGCCAGGAGTGAGCTTTGGAGATTGCCTCTCTGTGATCCCACAAGCACAGAGTCCGCAGCAGCGGCAGGATGCTTTGCAGTGCCGGGGCTGCTAGGGCACGGCTGACACGCAGACGGACAGACGAACAGGCAGGGCAATAGGTGGATATGGACGTGGAGCAGCTTTGGGTTAAAAACGCAGACTGACAGAGTGGTTTGGGGTGGAAGGACCCTTTAAGGATCATCCAATCTGGCCCGTGGCAGCTTCCACTAGCTCAGGCAGGCCCGAGCAGGGAGTACAGCCCTCGGCCATCCCTGCTGCAGCAGGACGGCATCCCAAAAAAACACATTTCCCTGATGTCAGCCTGGCCTGAGCAGGCAGTGGTGTCTGCCTGAGACTCGCATTTCCTCTCCCTGCCTCCCTTCCCCTCTGGGACCCCGTTCACTAGGCTGGAATCACTCAAGGAATTTTTTTTTTGTGGGCTTTTTCTCTCCCGTGTAGCCCCCAGAGTTTCTAAACCCGAAAGGAAGCCAGGCACGAGAAACGAGGCTTGCTGCCCTTCCCTCCGAAGGGAAACCCGGGGCCAGGGCTCTCTCCACTGCCCACCATTGCCAATCGTTGTCTCCGGCAGCTGCCATGCTGGCAGCCCCGTAGGGAGACATTAGACTGGTCATTTTCTGAGTCTCCTTTATTTCCTCAGTTTCTCCCTGAAATCTTCATAAATTCCCCTTTTCCAGGGGGAGTGTCCAGGCGGGTGGAAGTCTGAGCACAATGAAACCTGAGAATTTCTGTCACTCTCTGCATATGGTCCGAAGTGCTTTAATCCCAATTAGGGGCGGCTGACACACGGTCCTATTCATCCCAATCAGCTCTTGAATACATTTGCCTAGAAATGAACTTCACAAATAGACTTTCTCCTAAATGTGCCCAACAGCAAGGAAAATCGAATTGAGGCAAGGGCTCATTCTGAGGCGATCGAGGGAGAAAAGGTATGAATTTATAAGGTACACCGAAACATTGCAATTCAGCAACAAGTTTACTGACTTTTATTTGCACCATGTCAACCGAAAGAACCAAGAGATACGGTGGGGGTTGCGGGAGAAGGGGAATACGGTTAAAAGGCAACTTTAGACAGACTTTGAATACTTTATGCGGCAAGCTTCGCCTCCAATTGAAGTTGGGCTAAAAAGAAAAAAATCTCAGCCCCTACACTGGAATTTTTAACGAGCACAAAACGTGTTTGAATCCGATCTGGGCTGACGCTCGCGATTAACAATACGAATACCAAATCGAGCTCCTGTCATCTGCCCGGATTCCCATAGAACCTGAATTACTATTCAAAAGCCGCTTTAATATCCCACCCGCATCTCGTCTGCACCGCACAGCTGGTTGGGGGCCGCCGGCCCGGCCGCAGCCGCTCGGCCCCGCCGGTCGGCACCGCCCGCCCGCAGCACCGGGCACCGGGCACCGGCAGCGCCGCGACGGGGCGGCAGCGGCTGCTGCGGGCGGCGTCACGGGGGAGGAAGGAAAGTGAGGGCAAGGAAAGTGAGAGAACAGAGGAAAGGGTGGGAGAGAGAAGCGAGTTTGAGAAAGAGCGGCTGAAAGTAGAAAAGGTGAGCGAGATCGAGGAGAAGATACTCAGACACTGCGAAAGAGAAAGAGGGGGAAGGGAAGGGAAGGGAAGGGAAGGGAAGGGAAGGGAAGG